GGAGGTGGAGGCGGGGATGGGCAGTCCGTGTAAGCTACTGAGGCCGTCGGGGGCCTTGCCGCCGGGGCTGGGCGGCTTGCGGTCGGCCACTGCGGGAGGAAGCACAGGGTCGTGGGGTCACTGCCGGGCGGGGCGCAGAGACGGAGGCCCCGGGCCCAGGACGCGCGCAAACCAGGGCGACAGCGCGGGGGCCCGGAGTGAACGCGCACGTCCAAGGTTCGGGGACGCGAGAGGAGACCTGCGCTCCGCCAGCGCCCCACCGTCCCTGGGCGCCCACCCTTCCCTCCTCCCCGAGGGAGTCACTCAGGAGCAGCCTCAGCAAGCGCAGGGCCATTGAGCAGATGCTCCCGGACCGCTGACCCCGTCTGACTCCCTCTGCACCGCGCCCGCTTAACTACGAAGGCGACGGGTGCAGGGAGGTCCTGCCACCGGGGCACCGCGGGGCCGGGCCGGGCCGGGGAGGTTCTCGGACCCGAGACCTCTGGGGAAGCGACCAGGGCACTGAGACCCCACAGCCCTGCTCCCGCCCCCCCGCACCCACCCAGACCCCAGCCGCGCGCGCACCAGCGGGGCAGCTGCCAGCGCGTCTGGTCCGCTGTCCCTCGAAGCGGCTTGGGGCGCTGTCGGTAGGCCCGGGAAATCGAGGGGGGAGCGGGTCACCAAAGACACCCCTTGTGGCGGGAGGGCTCCGGCGGCCCGGTGCCTTCCGACGAAGGAAGTGGACGCGCTTTAAGTGGGCGGCCGACTGGGCTTTACCCCGCGCCCCGACGGCCCAGCTTCCCTCCCTACTGCGGGCACAGCACGTCCTGGGGCCTCGGGGGCACCGGGTTAAGTGACGGCGGGCTTTCCAAGTCAAGCGCATCCTGTGCGTTGCTCTATTATTTGGGGTTTGGGATAGGGGCCCTAACTTGCTACTGGAAGCCAGAAAAGCGACGCCACGACTGTGCAGCCTCTGGCTTTTCCTCCCGGCCCTGGACGCTGGGCGCCGGCACGAGGAGGCACCGGCTTGTTCCCATCCCTAAAGGCGCCGGCGCGGGGACGCGGGGACGCCCAGGCACATCTGGTTGCTCAGAGGTTGGAAGGGGTCTAGAGACCTTTCCAGGGCAGAGCGCCCCCTCCACCCCCCCACGCCCACCCGCGCCTCCTCTCAGCTCTCCCCACGCGGCGTGGCGGCCCAGCCAACCAAGTTTCCCGACCTTTTCTGTCCACCCCGTACACACACTTCAAGGTGAGGACCTGTTTAGAAAACATCTGAGGGCCGGCTGCCTTAGAGACAAGCGAGGAAAGGCGTGGAAAATAAACACGGGAGCCCAGAGACAGATTCCAGCCCCTCTGCACCTCGAATCCTACTGCTTCGTTTTTAGCTCCCTCCACGCCAGGCTTTCCCCAGGGGGCACCTCCTCTCCTCTCCTCCTTTCCCACCGCAGGATCCCCGGAGGAAACTGGGTCTGTCGGGGTTCATAAGAAGCTGGGGCCCCAGAGCATTGGGCGTTTTGCAGGAGTTTTAACTTAATCTTAGGGGGACACGCATTTTTAAAATACTGGGACAGCAATTTCAGGGCCACTGGGACGTCGGGGCTGGAGCCGATGAAGTGGGGGTCTGGGAAGGAGTCCCCCAGGGCTGGGTCGAAGGACCCAGGACCCAGGTTGCAGGCAGCCTGGCTCTCAGGCTAACGCCTGCACCCTAGTGCTCTCTGGCAGTTTGCTTTTAGGATCGATTTTTCAAGAACTAATCCCGAGCTGAGATAACTGGAAGGAAGCTGTGAGTTATCTGTAACAAATAGAAACAAAATTGTCTTTGAACGTATGCAATGTCTCAAAGATTTGATTTCCAAATCTCAGTCCTTCCAAGGCCCAGCTGGGAAGGACTTCAGAACCATGAGGCTCTGAAAACACACTGTAAAAACCAGTCGTCTTGAGGGGACACATGGTGGGGTCTGTCACCCGTGGGTGTGGGGAGGAGATGGTCCTGCCCTGGCTATGAAAAGACATTTGGACAGGTGTCCAGATTCCCAGAATATCAGAGCCCCTCTAGGGGTAGATAAACCGAAACTTTCTATTCTCTAGGTTCCCAAGAAATAAAGTTTCCTTTCATGGATGGGAAATGTAAATTATACTTTCTTGCCTACATAACAGGGAACCCAAAGGCGTTACTCTTTACCAAGATAAAATTCATAAATTGTGGTACTTGATTTGACATTTGATTAGACTTTCATTACGGTAACTGCTAATGTTCACTTGCATCTGATTTGGAGGGTTTATTGACTAGAAGATCAAAAACATTTGTTTTTACTGAGTACTCATGATATTAAATGCTTTCAAGAAAGAAAAAAATTTTCCTACTGAAAAAATAATTCAGTAAATGCTATTCCTACCACTTTTATTAACTGAACAACAATTAATTGTAGTAATTGCCTAGTGGGATGTTTGTTTGAACATAATTTTAAAGCACCGAGTAGGAAACAAGGCAGTGATTTGGATGATTTTTCTCTGTAGTTTTTCAAAGACCAATTGGGTGTGGAAGGTCTTAGAAGTCAGCTTTTCTGCCAATAAGAATAAAAATTCTTAACCCAAATAGGTATGTAATTCTCATTATTTTTGTGCTCCTAGTTCCAACACAAACATTTGTGTGCTGGTTTGAGGAAGAATTTTTTAATGATGGGCTGCACTTATTCCATGATCCTTTACCTGTATCTTTAAAGAACTGTTAGGATCAGGAAATTAAGTTATTAATTTAATAACTAATGTAGCTAATTATGTCTACAGACTTTAAAAATTAGTGAGATGTTTCATAATAGGAAGTGACTATAATGGTAAAAGGTACATTCAGTGGCTCAGTATCCCGAAAGTGTCTGCTAAAGAAAATCAACCACCAAATGAATCCCTACCCCCCAATTAGCTGGAACTAGTTTAGAATCCGGAACTGTGTGTTTTACCTTTGGATTGTGACCTACAGGTCCTAGTTTATTTCTGATGTTGAGCTTGAAAAGCCCCAGAACAAAGCGGCTGTGTTAGCAAAGGGCTGCTTCGCTCTGAAGACTACAAGCCCTTTTCTAAGTCTCCTTTCCTTTTGGGATCAGCCCAGGGGAAATCTTTTAAATTTGTAGATACACTTTTCTAATGCAAAGGAGACTGGTTTTTATAATGAGGTAAATTCCATTTCAATTTCTAACTCAACAGATTACTTCAGTTGTCAGGAAAACAGGTAGATTTGAGGCCAAGGACAGGACGCTGAGCAGAGCATTCGCCCTGAGGCCCCTTATTGGTCCTTAAATGTAAAGCTCTAGAGGGATTCTAATTCTCCATTTTTAAAAATTTCATTTACTTGAATTTTCCTATAAATGAGCAACTGGAGTTATTCTATTTTAAATTAAGTGCAAACCTTAAGGGAGTTCTAATTCTCAATTTTTGTGATTTATGTCCCATAATGTTTGTGCTTTAGGAAAAGTGAAAATTAAAAGTATTTTTGTATTTTATTGATTTACTTGATGGCAGTTTAATATTCATTCTCTCTCTTCCTCCCTCCCTTGCTCTCTCAGAGCAGGCTACTGTGTCTCCTAGGAAATAAAGCTTTTTGCCTGCCCCCCCCCCTTCGTCCTTGGCAGGTAAGAGTTGGGTCAGGCTTGTAAAGACCCTTCTGGAACAGCCCTCTGCCCTATGCTGACCCCAAGGTTTGTGCTCTGTCTCCAACGACAGCTCTGGCTGGGGCCCCCTGAGGTGACTCCTTCCTTTCTCAGGGTAGTTGAAGTTGAAAATTTCTGGTGAACCAAACCTACTTGCAGGCAGGTTCTTCTAAATCAGCAAATTCAGCCACTCCTTTCACCTGTGAGGAAAACCACTCGAGGGCAGAGCTTTCCCAATTTACAGGAAAAAAAACAGAGCCTGAAGGTCAGGGTAAGACGACAACCCTCACACTGTTGACCAGCAGATAAATACCTCCAGTCTGTTAGTTTGGCTTATCATGGGGTAGATTTATGAAGGGGGGGAGAGAACTCCCAGCCACATTTCCTACAGAAAGAAGTACCGTAAACCACACAGACTTCAAAGAGAGTCTAAACTTAGGGACAAGTGATTGAAATGCTCTTTCCTTACCCAATAATTTACTTACGTAAATGAACCCAAGGGGAGGCCACAGTCTAGTTTTGTTTTGTTTTGTTTTGTTTTGTTTTGTTTTGTTTTGTTTTGTTTTGTTTTGTTTTTAGGAACTCGGGAAGAAACAGATGGACAGTGCAGGTCCAGTACCAGGGCAGGTCCACCACGGGAGGCAAAGCTCCTCAGGCCACAGAAAAGTGAGCCTGCATGATGCTTCTAGAACCTTCCACGGATGGAGAAATGAGGTGCAGAGAGAAGCAATACCTTGGCCAAGGGCACAAGAACCAGATCCAAACCTGACCCTCTTTTCTCCTCTCTCTGCACAAAGCGGGTGGGGGCAGAACCCCAGGGCCCCTCTCCGGGCCGCCTGCTTTCTAGGGCCGCGCGTGGGCCTACACACCTGTTAGAAACCAACCTGCGCGGAGAAGCTACAGGTTTAGCGCGGAAGGAGGGGTTTGGGCTGAGTACCACGTCTCCCACTACCTCTTCCCACGGCTACACCGCCTCCCTTGCATCCATCCATCCATCCATCCATCCATCCATCCATCCATCCA